ATGCTGCTTGGCCTGCTGTGTTCATCCAGCCCTGCACCTTATCCTTTCAAGGATGTCCCATTTTGTCCGGAAAGAACCTATAGCTAACGTCCTATCCAGTCCCACGTTACGGCTAGTTGCTCTTTACAATTTGTCATTCCATCATCTTAAGTTCATTCTTTGAATAGTTCAAATGTAAATATACCTTTGACCGTGTTTAATAAGGCTTTGGCCCCTTACATCATTTAATTAATAGCAGTGTTCTGGATTTACCGTTTCCTTAACGATCTTACACAGTTTTAACAAATCCATCTTTCAAAAGTCTGTGCTGCAAGCATCACAATTCTCTTCAGCCTACCTCCACAATCGTAAATCTTGACACAAGGGATAAGCCTCTTGCCTCTTCTCTGCACTGCCTCAAGTGCCTCTGATAAGTGCTATGTTAAAAAGAGGATATAAAGGGCTACCCTATGTAATTTAATAAGTAGGATTTGAGCGGTGCTGCACAATTCGTTTCTTACAGCTGATCCTGCAGCTCCAGGATAATGAACTCCAGTTGTTCTTTCTCCAGTTTGTGGTTCAGGTCAGTCTCTTCCATCCTTTGTAGAAGAAGTTTGTTTTGAGCAACCGACTCTGCAAGTTGAGCTTCCCGCAAACGTACCAACTCTTCCAGGTAGCCCTAAAATCAAGTAGATAATGACAATTCAAAAGTGTGGCGCGCGCACACACAAAAATAATGATCCATACTCAAACAAAAATTATTACAGACTGCCATTTAAGAGTGGAATCATGCTCAACTCTACAAAAAAAGCTGGGACATCACATTTAATACAGAAAGAGGAAATGCTTACATTCTCCCAATGAGAAATGCATAAGCAATTTAAAGATGGGTTAAACAGATAAACATTAAAGGAAATGCTGAAGTTTTGTCTCCTGTGTGCAAGTTTATTTCTCTCCTTGCTAGGCGAAGTTTCTGTCCATTGATGGATCTGTACTGACAACAAACAATTCCAAGTTCCTATTGTAATTGGACATCATGACTGAAATAATGTGTCTTGTCAATATCACAAACCACAAAAATACAACTTTCCTACAAGGGAAGATTCTGCACCAACACTGGCATTTAACAGATTGTTGTATAGCTGTATAAACCTTTTTACAAAGCATAGCTCCTCTAATTAAAATAAATCTCATTTATCATAATTCTGTGCAATTTGATTCCCATAGTAATAAAGTCACCATGGTTATGTACAAGTATAAACGTAAGTGCTGGGAGGTTTGCAAGATCTTAATGGAAAAGAAAAAAATTCTGAAGCACTATACTTTGAATGTCAACATTTTGATTTGCATTATTGGTGGGAAAACATTTAACTGTAGAATGCAGACCTCAACTCTGGTCAAAATTAAATGATCCTAATTTCAGTTATTCAACCGCCACATGCTAATGACAATTAGTAGCCATTGTTTGAAAAGCAATTCCTAAATTACTGTAATCAGATGTAACAAAAACAGGGTTTAAGTGTATTCAGTGACTATAAAACAGTGGCTCTAATGAGCAACTATTTGATTAAATCAGCTTAAAGTACTGAAAAATGCTGATGAAAGGTACGGATGGATTGTTATACACAGCAAGAAGTATCAAAGATATCAAGATACCGCCACTGAAATTTATTTCTGATCTCAAGCCAATCTGGAATTAAAAGCCTAAATGATCAATCCATTGTTGATTGTTGGGAAAAACCTATCTGGTTCAGTAATGTCCTTTAGGGAAGGAAAATTCCATCTTTACCTGGTCTGACCTAAATGTGACTTCAGACCCACAAATGTAGATGACTCTTAACTGCCTTCTGGGCAATTAGGAAGGGCAATAAATACTGGCCTAGCCAGCGATGGCCTTATCCTGTGAATGAATAATGAGAGGGATTGCTCTATTTTGTTTCCAGCTGGACCGACTGTCTGGCCATTGCAAATCCAGGCCAACATGCACAATTGCAGAGTCACACATAACACATTCAAACACTGAAGACTATGCAGAGAATGGTCACAAGATTGATTTTCATATATAGATATTTCAGCATGCATAGAGTATTTTGTTTTTAATTTTGGTAGTGAGTAGGATCTGCAGGAGATAGGAATTTGGTATTTGAGACAACAGGTTAATGACGTTTGCAATGTCATTTAATTGGATTTAAAGAAATTGGGAACAGAAAAAGGTGGGGATTCAATTAAAAGGGAACTTCTAACATCCATGGTTTTACACAGTTTTTGCTGTATCTCAGCAATTTCAACCTGGTTACCTTTTTACACACAGGTTGAAAAACACAACCTACAATACTTCAGACATTCTTCTATTTCAAAAAAAAAAGGCAACTCACTAACTGATTCCAGTAACAGTAAAAGAATAGTGACATATTTCCAAGTCAGGATGATGAGTGGCTTCGAGGAGAACTTGCAGGTGCTCGTGTTCCAGATGTCCGCTGCCCTGTCCCTGTGGTCATGGGTTTGGAAGGTGCCATCTAAGGAGTCTTGGGGAATTTCTGCAGCGCATCTTGTAGATAGCGGACACTGCTACTGAAGGACTGAATGTTTGCATGTGGTGCTAATCAAGTGGGCTGCTTTTTATTGGATGGTGTTAAGCTTCTGGACTGTTGTTGGTGCTGCACTCATCCACAAATGTGGAGTATGCCATCTCGCGCCTGTTGTCACAGTATTTATCTGGCTGGTCCAGTCCTGGCTCCTGATCGTAACAGAAATCGGTCAGGTTTGATTTGTCTTGCTATTTTTAAGTACAGACATACTTGGACAATTTTCTTCAGTGCTGGATTAATACCAGTGTAGTAGCTGTACAGGAACAGCTTGGCTAGGGTGCAGTAAGTTTTGCAGCACAAGTCTTCAGTACTGTTGCCAGAATTTTGTCAAGGCCCAAAATCTTTGCTACATCCATGCCTTCAGCCATTTCTCAATATTAAGTGGACTAAATCAATTCAACATCAGCTGAAGTCTTGTATCAGAGGAGAATTAGGGCAGCTACACCTCAACAATGAAAAACACAGTCCACCCATATCAACAATGAGAATTACCTTCTGCTCCAACGCCAGCCTGAACTTCTGCTCCACTCGTTTGCACTTGTTGTACCAACTGTGTTCATCAGTAATGAAAGGTGGACCAATGTTCTCAGGGGTGCTGCCTTCACTGCCGCTGCTTCCAAGGGTCCGTAACTCCTCCTCATCACTGCTGATACTCTCAGAGCTTTGTCAACATGACATTTCATAAATTAGATTCAGCTGAAAGACCAGCAGTAAAATTAATTCCACAACAGTCAGCGCAGAGACAGAAAATTGCAAGGACTTGACCGGAAAGCGTCTAGGAATGGTAATTCAGGATAAAATTAACAGTCACTTGGGAAAACACAGGTTGAAGAAAGCCAGTAGAGATTGGAGATAACAGGTAGTGTTCAGTTAACTTGCTTGCATTTGTATTTTTTTTTTAAAAAAAAGAAATGAGAGGGAGGGTTGATGGGGTGTACAAAGACTTCCAAAAGGCATTTGAGCCAGTGCTACACAACAGACCTTGGAGCAAAGTTAGAGCTCAGTAAAAGAGACTGTACCAACATGGATGTGAAATTGGACAGAGTAGTGGCTAAAGGTTATTTTATAAACAGAAGGATGCTTTATAGTGGAGTTCTCTTGGGTTGATGTTGTGCCTCCTGCTGTTCTTAATATATCTTGGTTACCTACACTTTGGTGTATAAACCAAAATTTACAGACAATATTAAATTTTGAAGTCTGATGTTAGATTTTTGTTATAATCATTCACAGGATGAGGGCGTCACTGGCTATGTCAGCATTTAATGCCCATCCCTAATTGCCCAGAGGGCAGTTCAGAGTCAACCATATCACTGTTGGTCTGGAGTCACACGTAGGCCAGACCAGGTAAGGATGGCAGTTTCCTTCCCTAAAAGTCATTAATGACTCAGATGGGTTTTCCAATAATTAATAATGGATTCATGGTCATCATTAGACATATAATTGATGAGATGACTCAGAAGAGACAAGTTCAAGTAGAATATTTTGACTTCCAAGGAAGAGGCCTCGGGAACTGCAGCAGAGATCAAGCCAAGAACCAACAGATCAAATTTTATAAGACCCAGAACAGACGCACTATATAAAATGTTGAAGCAAACAGAGGTAGCTCTGGATTCTAAACATTAATACCTCATTTTGCAACTCAGTAATTTATAGCCAGAGTAATTCAGAAGATTTTTTAGGTTCACAATTAACTAATTTCCAAACATGACCAAGAAAATATTAGTACACACAGACTCAGGCAAATTATCATATGCTCGTGTCCATCAGTTGGGACACTGGTGGAATACGAATAAATGGAAGTTGAAAATTTTAGGAAAAACTTTAGCTTTGAGATTCTAGTCTTTATTACTTCATCTAATCACATTGAAGAAAAGAAGAAAATGCACAAATCAGAAAGAGATCTACCTTTGTGTGAACTTCAGATATGGAGTGTAGTCTATAACAGCAGGACAATTACCATCCAGACTCTCACCCTTTAAACAGAAGCTGAAAGGGAAGAAGGTACATAGTTTATTCATTACATTCAGGCCAGTTGTTTAACAGATTGCATTCAAAAAAATTCATTGAAAGTTTCATATCTAAATTTTGCTCATTATGTGGTGCAATTTCAAGAAGTGTTCACTTTTCCTTGCAAGTTACAAATAAGCAGAAACAAAATTTGGGAGTTGGGCGTAACAACATGTGATGAGAGGGGATCAAAAGTATGTGATTCGTTTGCTGCAGGAATAAATAGGTAGTTGCAGGCAGACACTTTTAGCATATAGTGATGCTCAACCCAGAGGAGGAGAGTGCTTCACAATGCATATCTCAGTAACGACCTTCACATGAATACCCAAAAAGCCTGCAGCAGATAAACCAAGTATATGCTTTGGATTTGAGCAACTAGAACATCAAGTTCAGTTGCTCAACATAAATCCTCTTGCAGAGATCCTACCACCATTCTGAAGGCAGAAATTCATCAGATGATTAGTAAATTCTTACCTTTGCAAAGAAAGATCTTTGAAATAAGACTTACGAGAAGGGACCATACTGATATGCAAATTATGAATGTAAAAATAACATTAATTTATATAGTGCCTTTTATACCCAAAGTATTTTTTGGTGGGGAATTAATTTTGGGGTGTATTGTAATCACCCCAGCAGTTTAATGCATTTGGTACACTGGTACAAGCAGATAATGGAGGATGTTTCTGGTCAAGTAGATATTGTTTGCTTTAATTGATGAGCAATCACTGCAAAACGGCCAAAAAAATTCTCAGGCTGGAGACCAGTTCAATCCGGAATAGGAATTTGATCACTGGCAGAGAAGAAAACTAAGAATGCAAAGATGTAAAATGGATTAAAGTTGGAAAAAGCAGCAATGGCAAGAAATTTGGCAACAATATGCAGGAACTGACAGTGAAGAACAGATATTAGATATGGCTCAATATGCAAGAAGCAAAATGTCTTAAAAGAAATGAAAAGGCAATTAGGCCTCAGTTCTGAGGAAGGGTCACTGGACCTGAAACATTAACTGTTTTTCTTTTCTTCACAGATGCTGCCAGACCTGAAGGTTTTCCAGCAACTTTGGTTTTTGTTCCTTGAATATTATGTACAGTTTCAATCTCCATATTTAAAAGATGGATACATTAGCATTGAAGACAGTTCAAAGCAATTCACTAGGTTGATCCCTAGGTTGAAGGAGTTGACTTATCAAAAACAAAACAACTAAACAGGTCCAGCCTTTATTCATTAAAGTTTAGAAGGATCAGGGGTGATTGAAACGTACAAGACTCAGGGGGCTTTACAGGGGAGAGTTTAAGATGATGTTTCCATTAGTGAGGCGATCGCAAGTTAAGGGAGCAAAGTCACAGAATAAATTGACATTCATTTAAAATGGAGATCCAAAAGAATTTCTTCTCTCAGACGGTAGAATTCTTTACCTCACAGGGTTGTGGAGTCTAAATCACTAAATATTTAAAAAGAGAGGTTGGAGAGATTTTTTGAAATAGAAGTTAAGGGTTATAAGAAGCTGACATGAAAGAAGAGTGGAGGCCCCAGTCAGATCAGCCATAATCCTTTGAAACATCAGGGCAAACTTGAGGCTAAATGGCATAAGTCTATTCATATTTCCTGTGTTCTTATCTGATCGAGTGGCATAGCAGTTTCAAGGGGGTCATAAGACTTGCTCTTGTACCTACTTCTTATCTTGTGTTCCATGGCCAAAATTGTGAAATATACAGGTTCATACAATCCATAGAATCTCTACAGTTGGGAAACAGGCCATTCGGCCCAACAAGTCCACACCAACACAAGAGCATCCCACAAAGACTCATTCCCCTCACCCTTATCCTGTAACCCTGGATTTCCAACAGCTAATCCACCTAACCTACCCATCCCTGAACACTACGAGCAATTTAGCACAGCCAATCCACCTAACCAGTACATCTTTGGACTGTGGGAGGACCGGGAGGAAAGTGGAGCACCAGGAAAAAAATCCACGCAGACATGGGGAGAATGTGCCAACTCTATACAGTGCTGCTCCTTTATTCACCAAAGGAGCAGCACTCCAAAAGCTTGTCATTTCAAACAAACCTGTTGGACGATAACCTGGTGTCATGTGACCTCTGACTTAAATTTTTTTCATGGCAGGGTATTTTAAGTTATTTTGCACGGCCATACATTCAAGGTATTTGATCTGAAACAGTTTGTTTATGCAATACCTTCCAACTACTGCATGGACATGCACACACACAGCTCAGCAGGAACATTGCCAGGAATTGTATACCTTTGGGTATGGCCGGACATGTCACAATTGCCAAGAATCCTTTCAAACTTCATCGTTAATGTGTACAGTGCTAACAGAAAATAGACTGACTCACTGGTTGCTCGTCAACGTTAAAGTTTAATCTGCATTTGAAGAACAGAAGCAGAACAAGGTGCGTGCAATTTTTTTTTTGCCAGCCAGAAAAACCAAAGTTATCTAACCTGGAAATACACTCCTGTGCAAAAATAGCATTTTTGTTCTTTAACTCATTCATGGGACATGGATGTGGCTGGGCAGGCCAGTATTTATTGCCTGTCCCTAACTGCCCAGAGAACAGCGGGTCTGGAGTCACGTGTAGACCAGACTGCACAAGGATGGCAGATTTCTTTCTCTAAAGGGTATTAGCGAACCAGATTTTTTTTCTCTGTCAATCGGCAATGGTTTTGAGATTGTCATTACACTCTTAATTCCAAATATTTATTAAATTCAATTTCCACCATCTGCCATGGCAGGATTTGAACCTAGGTCCCTGGATTAATAATCGAGTGATAATTCCACTAGCCCATTGCCTCCCCTTGATTCCCTTACCATCTTTTACATACTACCCAAAAGTCTTGAATAGTATAGCAAAGTCAATTACCTGAAATCAATAGTATTGAGTCCAAGCAACATGCCAGCCAGCATGTTTGATTCTTCTCCCAGTACAATTGCTCCATCTTCATAATATCTCCTTTAGGAGAAATTTTAACAACAGTTCCTCAGGTCTGTATTGCATTTAAGGCACAAACAGCTTAAGGCACAATCCCAATCAGGTTTTAAATGCTATATATAAACTTAAATCAGCCATGTAAGGAATAATGTTTCTCTGGCTAAGCAAGTCAGAGGACAGACAAAGGTCTGCCTCTTACAACAGTTTTCTAGTCCATGAAACAGAAACTGGTATATATCATACATCAGGCTACAGACTGCATTTCTTTAAATAAATAAGGGGAATTATTTATAATGTCAACCCAAGTTCAATTGCATTAGTTTCTCAAGTTATATTATAGATGTCACATTACAGGGATAATTCGTAAAGACCTGGTTGTTTTGATGTCCCTCAGGGAAGTAGAGATATACTCAGACAGACGCTTCTCCATGAGAGCAACTCGGATCCACGCTCTACCCTGTCAAGTTAGAAGAGACAGAACAGAAGCACAGCACAATTAAAATGTATTGAGCAAACAGCTACAACATTCTTTTGTTCACTGAACTGACAACTGCATATGGCCATGAGTCAAGAAGCATCCAAATCAGCCAAGTGGGAGCTAGTGTTTTACATCTCATTTGGGCTACAACTCCTACAACTTGCTGACAGTCAAACATCAGCGCTATAAGTAAATAAATGCTGCAAAATCCAAGTAGTTGTTCTAATCATACAGAAAGGGGTTTCTTAGGTTAGTCTTACCGACCTCCTGTAGATAGCTGATCAGACCGATACAAAAAAAAAGGAGCAGCATAAGCTCATTTGGACAAAACATTTCATCAGCCAACAGCAAGGGATTTTAAAAATCAAAGACAAAACGTTTGTGGTGACAGCTTACAAAAACAGGTGGTTTTTCTATAGCATCTTTAAAATAGATTTTTAGCTTTAGATTTTATGGTCACATGTATGCAAGTAAGTAGTACAGGAGTTCTGAAAAAGTGTGTAATGTCACCACACGCTGCACCATCCCAAAGTAAAGCAGTAAAGCATCCCAATGTATTTCACAAGTGCATTCTGAAACTAAATTGGATACCAGGCCACATATGGAGGTATTAAGGCAGATGAGCAAAAACTGGGTCAAAAATAGGATTTTGAGCAGCGGTTTAAACAAGAAAAGAGAGAAGGCTGCAGAGCAGGAGGAAGAAACTCTACAGCCATGACAGGCAATATAAAAATAAGCATGAACATTTTTCAGATCAGGATTTTGTTAAAACAGAAGCGCGTGTAAACCAGTAATGCAGAGGGGGAAGTGGGAATCAATGTGATTAAGGACATGAGCAGTTGCATTTTGGATAAGCTCAAAGTTACATAAAGCAAAGGACTATAGTCTGGCCTGAGTTCAGTGGAAGTGTCAAGAAATAATAAAAGGCATAAGTGAGAATTTCAGTAATAGATCAGCTGAGACTGGGACCAAGTTGGACACATCTAGGGAGTAGGAAGTAGGCAGTTTTGGTGACATGGACGTGTAGTCAGAAACTCATCCCTTTTAGACCTAGGGGTCACCACAGACTTGTTTCTGGGGTGAAAGGACTACCTTCTGAAGAGAGATTGGGCAAACTACACCCTCTAGAGTTTCAAGATGATCTTATTGATACCTATAAAATACTGTAAGGGATAGACCAGATGGTAAGATGTTACTCCTAACTGGGGAGCCTAGAACCAGGAGCACCATTTTAAATAAGGGGGATATCATTTAGGACCGAGATGAGCAGAACATTTTTACTCAAAGAATTGTCAGATAGTAGGTGTAGAGCTGGATGAACACAGCAGGCCAAGCAACATCATAGGAGCAGGATAGTAGTTCAGCTTCAGGCACCTGCAAGGGAAATGGGTAAAAGGGATGGCCTGGGAGCAGAAGTTGCTGCATTGTCTGGAAATCATGCTTTCACTTTTCTAATATTTCACCGCAGGAAATTTTCATTCAGCGCTGGATGTTGGACAAGTAGCGTGGCAAATCAAAACTATAGGAGGGACCCAGCAAGATGGTGGTGCAGGTTATCAGCATATATGCGAAAATTGCCATCATCTACAACTTACATTACATGAATGGTGCTCTAAGGAGCAACTTGAAGGAAGGAGAAGATACACAAAGAGAGAATTCCAAAGCTTAAGGCCTAAGCAACTAAAGACATGGCAGTTAACAGTGAATGGTCACAATTAGAAATGCTCAGCAGACCAGAAAAAGACTGAAGAAATTTATAGATATAGGAAAGGGAAAGGCCACAATGCAATTTGAAAATGGTGGTAAAAAGCAAACTTTTAAAATTGAGGCAACATCGAACTGCAGGCCAATGTAAATTGATGAGCACAGTGGAGACGGGCGGTAAGGACTTAGTGAGAGTTTAATAATGGGTAATAGGGTTTTGAATAATTTCAAGTTGAGAGAATAGAACATTGGGAGTTCCTCAGAGTGCATTAGATTCTCACGGCTAGGAGGTGCAAGAGTCATAGATGAGGATGTCGTCAGCAAACGACCCACAAGTTGAACTCAGACTATAATACAGCAGTGCAAGTTGACAGCTTTAGTGATGATGTAGGTGCGCAGTCAGAAGCTTATTGTGCGCTCAAAATATAAGTTACAAGAGTCCTGCTCAGCCTCAGACAGAGTCTATTCAATCCATATTATATATTGGATGGGAATTTGGAAGAAAAAGGATCAAAAGTAGCAGAGGAGAGGAAGACATTGATATCTTTAGCGTACATTAAACTGAAGCCATGGTTTTGGAGACATGTTGATGAGAGAAAGGATACCGTTGAGGATATATCCTTGGGTAGCACCAGAGATAAATGGGTGTGACAGCAGGGAAGGAAGCCATTATTGTTGGCTTTGTTTTAAAAAAGAATGACAGAAAAGAAAGCAGGCGAGCAGAGTCTCATGCTGGTGGACGACAATTAGCAGACATTAGAGGATAATTTTGTGATTAACTCCACTAGATTCTGCACATAAGTCGAAGAGATCAAAAAGGGATCATTTACCTTTGTTACAGACAACTAGGGCATCACTTGCAATGTTAACAGAATTAAATCTCGGTACACGACAGGCATACGAACCTGATGGAGGGACTCAAGCTGGAAAAAATTTAGACACAGATTTGGCAGTCTGAGCTCATTCAAGCATTTTGGACAGAATATGTTTGAAGGGAGAGGTTTCAGATCAGACAGGATTTTATATAGATAGAGGGAGTCAAATTTGTTTTATGAGTGAGAGGTGATGATGACAGTGGGTTTTGATAGAGGGGGATAGAACCAGAAAAGTGGGAACTATTAATAATGCCAGTCAATATGGTAGCTGGGAAAAAAACTGAATGATCAGCAGTTTATTAGGAATACAGTTAACAGAGCAAAAATTATATCTGGTCAATAAGAGGAGTTCAGAGCATGCGTGACGGGAGATGGGAGCTCGGAGCTAAAATAATTAATTCAGACAAGAGGAACAGTACAGCAGCTGGATACAGTGAGCAAATGTACAGGAGCGAAGCAAAACGAGGAGCTGACCTAATCTCATTGCATTTCTTGCTAGAAGCGAGGTGGGGAGGGGGGGAGCTGGCAGGGGAAAATGGTTTAAATGATCAATATCAGTGGAGAGATAGCAAGACTGCAGATACAAAATAACCTCCATATTTAAGATGACACCTAATTCTATCTGAGAATTTCTGTCAATGCTATGACCATATTCTCGTTATCAGGCTGCCTATTAATGATAGATACAGTACAACTTTCTCTGATTGAATATGGGATGCAAACCATTTTTTCCCCCCAAAAAACAAACAACTGTTTCCCCCCTCAGTGTAAATTGATATCTTTATCACCATTTCGCCTCATCCACAGAAAATCACTCGAGTGGAACCCCAGGCCAGGTAAAACCTCGGTGTCCTGGGCTTCATTCCCCATTATCAAGACTGCACATTTCCACCTTCAAAACACTGACCACTGCCTCCACGGTCCCTATTCAGGCTTTTACACAGTGAAACATTTTGTCTCATGCCCTTGCTCCTGGCCTCCCATCCTCTTTCTTTAATGAGCTCCAAATAACCCTTAATACAGCCAATTGTATGTTGTCAAGCATTAAATCTCACTCGTCACCCCCCACACTTGTTGGTCCACACCAGTTCCATGTCCCTCATTGCATTAATTTTCAAAGGCCTAATTTTAACCCAGTCACCCATCATGAACAGGTTAAGTGGGTGTTTGATAATGGCGTCCTGCATCTGTACCACACTGTTGATTGGCTTGAATATCTTATTTTAACTAGTGTATTTCTGTCAGCATGATGATCACCTACTACAGGCACATGAGTATAAAACTGAAAATCACAGACTAAAGGATAGCACAGCATCACAAACCAATTTTAAATTTCAAAATTAGACATGACCCACGCTACAATGATTTCTCTGGATTCCCAAAGATGCTTAACTCTCCTTTCCAATCCTGCTTCCACTAACCCATATTTCATTTGTATTTCTTTGCATGAGATAGGTATCAAACATTAAAGTTCAAGGAGTTAAAATGACTAGAAGTCTTATGACAAAAAAATCCAGGGGAGACTCACTTATCTTACAAAAGATAAGACCTAACCTAGATTAAAATAAAAGGCAAAACAATCGTACCCTCATCCTCAAATCCTTTTAGTGCTTACTTCTGGATTGGAACTTGCTGTGTAAACATACCCATCAGGCGGTATCACAGGGTCTTACATAATATAAAAAACTGATATCGATACTTCGGTCAATGTTTGCAGATGATGTAACAGAATATCAAGATACAACTGCTTTCTAACCTTTGCCCTTGATGAGCTCACATTCTCCATGTTTTCAATGCTGCTGATGCAGTTATGGGGAACCTTGCTGCATGCCACACGGATGAAGTCCCAGAAGCTTCGAGGGCTTTCGTAACCAAACCAATTAATCTGACCTGTAGTGCAGAAATAGGAGAACCAGAGAAAGTAAAATTATCATCTGCAAAATTAGTAACTTCACTTCCAAATAAAAAAAAGCTCAAAAGATTAAAGATAATAAAATGAATAGTAAATTAATATCCTGTACTGCCTTCCCTCAGTTCTGATGAAGGAGGATAATTAATGACCAGTAAAGGCAACACTTTCTGTTGACTAATGCTGTTTGACCTGGAGTGAGTATTTCCAGCATTTTCTGTTTTTAATTCAAGATTCCAACATCTGTAGTATTTTGCTTTCGTGGAACATACAGCCACTAAGCCGCCTCTGTTATTCAGTACAAGCATGGCCAACTATGCTCAAAAAACTTCGTCCTGAACATTGAGAACTTTGTCGTCATTCAGTCAGTACATTTCCGTTAGTATGCTCAGCCTGCATTGCATTTGCCAAGTATCAATACACTTCCGGCTGCCAGGCCGAAATGATGAATATAGTCAGCAGCTTGAATGATAACGTAACCCCCGCCCCCCCCCAAATATACAGCACAACACAGTGAAAGAAACTGCACCAAGCCAAAGAATCTCTACAGTGTGAAAACAGGCCCTTTGGCCCAACAAGTCCACACTGACCCTCGGAGCATCCCACCCAGACCCACCCTAATCTATATAGCCCTGAACACTACGGGCAATTTAGCACGGCCAATCCACCTAGCCTGCACATCTTTGGACTGTGGGAGGAAACCGGAGCACCTGGAGGAAACCCACACAGACACGGAGAATGTGCAAATCCTACACAGACAGTCGTCCGAGGGTGGAATCGAACCCGGGTTCCTGGCACTGTGAGGCTGCAGCGCTAACCACTGGGCCACTGTACTGCCCTGACATAATCAAATTATCCACAATGGTTCCCAAAAGCAGGGAACATTTTAAAATGATCTTTGGCTTGTAAAGTGTACAGAACAATATTTTCATACCATGAAATGCACCCATCACCCAATGGGTGCTCCTCAACCTGCAGACACGATCTAATTTATACAATTAACATCTAGTACGGATTAAACTAACAATATTCACTTCCAATATGAAAATAAGTCACTCAAGAGTTAGGGAAAGTAGGCAAGTGCTGGTAAATACAAGGAGGCATCCACGGAGTTGGTCAGACAGGTGGAGGTGAAGGTGGAAGCAAGGTTAAGAACAGTCTTTAGGCTCCACTTATAAATACTGCAATGCATAGTAATGCTGAGATATATTTGGATCTAATCTTACTGTTGGATTTTTGACTGACTGTTTCATAAATGCTACCATTCAATTCTAGTCAGTCTCCTCCACATACCTCTCTGCACAGATTGCCAACATTCATATGGCTAGACTTCAGAATCCAGCATTGTTCTTACACATCTTTTGTTTTAAGTAGCATAGTCTGGACAGAGTTTACGCACAATGAGACGCAACTGCGTGATATCAAAGTTCTAAAGCCTGTATGCAACTGGAGTGAAACCAAGTTTCTCTCAAATTTAAAAAGCAAGAATTCAAACAAATATACATCAAACATGTCGTCAATGGAATTAAAGAAGTTAACTGTGGCATTCTTCAGTAGTCACTAGTAATTTTCCTTTCACATTCTGCCAATAGGGCTGCTGAGTGATTTACAATAGTATTAAGTACAAGGGAGATTTCACCATGAAACTATGCATTCTGGCTAATACAAGTCCACTGATAGTACCAACTGAATGTGAAATAGAATACACAGTTAGGAGTTCTCTCAATTTATCATCCACTTTGAATATGCTGCACACAGGCAGGTTTGGAGTTTCATTAAATATTATCCTGGTACATTGTTTTCTTCAGACTGTCCATCACCTCATCTATTAAGATTAAGTTGTTGTTGTGGATATTAGCAAACCTTGATTTACAGTATTTCCCTAAAGTTTATTTCCTCCTCAAGATCAGTGGAAGCACAGACAACAAGCTGATAGCTATCAATCTAGTTTAATAAACGACTCCTATAAGTAAAGCATTTCTGAAACATGCAAAAGAACATCAAAATACTTGCATTATAAAAGGCTGTTAGGGCACCTGAGAAAGAAGCAATTGCTGAATGCTTGGGGAGGAGAGTATGTAAGACATTCCTTCCTAAAATTAATTGTTGCTGTTTTGCAAAATGGAAATCTTCAATAAATTTATTCAGAGCAAGAACCTTTCATCAACATCTTAAAAGTGAAAATTTGGTGAAGACTTCAAAAAGTGTTACAAAATTACTGGTCCATAAAATGGTGAAATGTATCAAAAGGATAATTTAAGAGTTCTTAATCTTAAAGATGGATGGGAAAAAAAATAAAATAAAATAAAAACACAATTCATAAATATGGGAACCCTGTTACAGTTGTTCAAAAGGAGCAGCGCACTTGGAATGAAATTGCAATACAAGCATTAAACCAGCAACATAGCAATCAGTCAGGAAAATGTTCTGCTTCAGTTCAGAGTGTGACAGCTGATTGTTTATTGTAGCCCTATGATCGCCATTGCTTTATTTCCAACTGACTGATTTCACTCGGGGAAAGTCAAAACGAAAAGAGATGAATGATGAAGGTACTCAAATGATGCAATGGTTGCTGGTATACAATTGCTTAAATCATTCTTCTAAAACTCAGCCTTCCCTCTTAGATTACCATAAAAACCTTCATCAAGTGAAAATAATTTGGTGTCTTTGATTACAGGATGTGGAAGAACTTCAGGCAAAATCCTATTCATAATCATTTAATCACTGATGTCATATAATATCTGGATTAATTATCTATCTGGGCAACAACAAACAGCTATGAATGCTGCAGTTCCTCTTATCTAGTATATCCTAGTCCATTCACCAGGGTTTGCATAAAAAGGCTCATATTAACTCACGTTGCAATAAAATAATATTGGCGAGAAATTCAGGAGAAAGCAGAAAGACTTGCAATACAAACAGAAAGAAAACTGTACAGTCAATCATTTTAAATGAAGCAGAGCAATAGATTTTGGTCACAACTAAGTTAAGGGACACAGCACAAGCTGTTGAAAGCTCAATTTTCATGCAACTGGCTCAACTTATAGCGGAACAATAGATGAGATATTTTGACTGTGTCAATTAGATTAAAAGGAGGATAACAACTGAAATTTCACAATACCAGCCTGGATTTGATTTCCTTTATGCTGTGTGTGATTGTTTAATGAAAAGATATTATCATTTTCTCAGAATACAATATATTATGCATTACAACAGAATCAAAAGACAACATCAATACAGCCTAATACATGAAATGAGATTTAAGAAATCATTGGAAAGTTCATTGCAAAAGTTGCTTTTTTGATCATCTGAGGAGTCATATTGTGTCAAGACTCCTTTGGTTCTGATTTCCCTTGAACAGAAAAGGTCAAAATCATGATGAAAGAGAATATCAAAATATGCAACCTTCATGAGAACACAAAATTTGCAGAGAGCAGTGAAGGCACATTAGGTTTTAATCTATTAAACAAGGCTCCCTAGAAAAACTACTTTTTGCGTATATCAGCTGTTTTAAAAGGGCTGCTCAGCAAAGAAAAAAAATCTTCATTTTTGTTTCAATTTGCTTTTCTCCCTTACAAATTAATATTACTGTCCCTCACTATGAAGTGAAACAGTCTTCATAGAAAATTCAACAATAAATTATTCAAAAATTAATGATTCGTGATGCATACATTTTAAGATACAGCAATATCTGTTCAAGGGTACACAAGAGGCTGGAAGAACATTAACCCTGATTTCAATTCTGATGACAGGCTGGGAGCCGGAGCGAAACCTGGACGCAATTGAAATTTGCACAGCAGCAGCTTTCTCACTCAGTCACCTCACCGTAACTCAACTTGCAGGTTGTGGTTTAAAAAAAAAGAAGTGTATAATTTGGCAATTTGGATTTTATCCAAAAATTTTCAAAAATAATCTTTTTATTTAAAAGAGAAATATGGCTTTGCTTTCAGTTCTGTGAAGGCAATTTATCATGTAGAACAAAAAAGTGACTCAATCACATTTCAAAAAAATGAAAGACCTTATAAATGCCCCACCAGAAACTTGAGGTTATTACTGGTCATGTGCTGAGTTTACAATGTTTGGTCCTGGTACATGAGGTGATGCAGAGGAACGCCATCCTCTTCCCCTGGAAGAACAGTTAAGGCCACAATGCCAAACTGTGCCAGTTTAGATAGAGCTTGCCACCAAGTTTGTGCAGTCTCAGCCACCTGGAGGTATGACTGACAATGTAGGAAGGTGGTCAATGACTTTCTCCACTCCACCACAGCCAAGTACCACTGTCTTCTCTTCAATACCTCACACTATCACTGCTACTGTACCCACCTCCCACAAATACTTATGATCTACCACACTTGCTCCTGTACACATCTTCCTTCACTCGCTATCATCCACCCCAATATCTAATACCACCAACTCACTCAGAATCAAAAGAATCCTTAGTGTGGAAGCAGGCTATTCGGCCCAACAAGTCCACATCGCCCCTCCGAAGAGCATCCCACCCAGACCCATTCTCCTACCCCTGCATTTCCCATATCTAACCCACCTAACCTAAATATCCCTGGGCACTACAGGCAATTTAGCATGGCCAATCTACCTAGCCTGCACATCTTTGGACTGTGGGAGGAAACCAGAGCACCCAGAGGAAACCCACGCAGACATGGGGAGAATGTGCAAGCTACATACTAACACAGTCACTTGAACTGAAATCGAACCCGGGTCCCTGGTACTGAGGCAGCAATGCTAACCACTGAGCCACCGTGCCACCCATCACTTGGGACAACTCAGCACCAAACAGCTGCACCTCCCACTTTCATTTCATTCAATGCCTCCTTTTATATTACAGGAGATAACAGTCCATTTTGGACAGAAAGAGCCAAGATAGGTGGGCTGCCCGAGATTTAGATCCTTACTCCTTACAAGGATAGGATCCTGACAGTGACCACTCCAACCTCTATTTTCTTGGCCAGAGCTGCTGTCAACC